CATTGTCTTAACATTCTCATTGTAGAAATCTTTCACCTTCATAAAAAGCCTTTTTTTCTAAGTTGATTTTGTTGTTTTTTGTTTTGTTTTGATGAACCCGTCTGCCTCTATCTTGTATTTAAAAGCCATCTTATAATGAAGATAAGCTAGGTTCATTTCTGTTTATGATTAAACCTCTGTTTCTCAAAGAATGGGCTATGTTCCACCTGTGACATTAACTACAAATGTTTCTATATTGCCTGATCCAGGAAACAGGAACCACACTTGTGTTTCAGGAGGTTTTTGTGACCACTTGGAACTCTACCTTTGTTTCAAAGGTTGTTATTACTACTTGTTGTTATGACCACCTTGCTATGTTCTGCTTCTGAAACCCCTCCTATTTGCCTGCCAAATTCCCCATTTGGAAACTCCTGAGCTATAAAATCCTTATCTTCTCCACATCCCTGTCTTAGGGGGAGGCGGCCTGCGTACATCAATTCTTTAAAAAGCTTGTTTTAATTAATTGCTTTCTTTAATTAATTTGGCTATGATGATTTGGGTCAGTGATCTTTTCACATTTTTAGGATTAACAGTTTATCTGTTTAAACCATTGTGAATGGTGATTTTTCCCGATTTCTTTCTCAACAAATTCATTATAGGCATATAGAAAGGTTGCTGGTTTGTTTTACTTATTTATTTATTTATTTGTTCATTCATTCATTCATTTTGGTTTTTTGAGACAGGGTTTCTCTGTATTGTTTGGAACTCACTCTGCAGACCAGGTTGGCCTCAGACTCAAGAGATCTGCCTGCCTCTGCCTCCTGAGTGCTAGGATTAAACGCGTGTGCGACCAATACCCCATCACTGATTTATTTTAAATGCATGTGTGTATGTGTATGGGCACTCACATGCAAGTATGTAGAGTGTGGAGACCAGAGGACAACCTTGATTGTTGTCTTTAGGAACACCATCCACCTCCTTTTAGACATTGTTTCTCATTGATATGATTACTTTGACATCTGCCGCTTAACCTACCCACTCACCATAAATGCTTTACAGGGCTGTTTCTCACACTGGACTGTGGCAGGTTAAATCTGATCATAATTCTCTTCTCTCTTCTCCTCTTATTCCTTCTCCTTCCCCTTCCCCAGGGATGCTCCTGCCTCTGCCTCTCCAGTGCTGGGATTACAAACATGTACCAAGATACCCTATATTTTTGCCTGATTTCAGAGGTTGAACTCAGAGCCTCACTCTTCTGAGGTAAGTACTTTAGCACCGAGCCATCTCCCAAGGCTGCTACTGATTTCTGTTTGCTGGCTTTCTATCCTGATACTCTGCTGAAAGTTTTGTTTTTAAATCCAATCTGTAAGTTTGCTGGTGCAGTCATTAAAAGTCTCTAAGGATAGGATCACATCATCTGCAAATAGGCATAATTTAACTTCTTTTCCTATTTGTATCATCCCCACCCTCTTCCCCCCAAACACTTCACTTTTTGTTTCATTGATTCTTGGATTGTTCTTTTACCTTATATTTCATTAACTTCTTCCCGGATTTTCATTACTTCTTTCCATCTGCTTATAGGTTTAGTTTGTTCTTGTTTGTTAAAGACGTTGATGTACATCATTAAGTTATTTGTGCTATCTCTGATTTCAGAATGTGAACACTCACATTACAAACTTTCATCTTACAATTGTCTTTGCTGTATCCCCAAATCTTGCTGTAAATCCTGGGAAAGAGAAGAGTCCACAGGCTCCACGAACTGTGACCGTCTGCGTTAGCCAATTACTCCCTGTCTCAGTGCAGCAGCTTACCTTCTGTGCTTACCAGAGGTCTCTGGGACTCCTCAGATTCTCCTCCCTGATCTGGCTAACGTTCCATCTGGGGGATATCTCCCAAGTGTATGGGGAATGTGGGATACAACAGCACTGAGATCCACACAGGCATCTCAAAGTAATATGCTGGAGCCTCGGAGTCTTGGGACTCAACAGCAGTAATAGAAGATGGATGGCTTCAAAAACTAATTCCCTCGCAAACCTCAGGCTCAGGGCTGGGGAAGTTCTGAGTTACTCTTTGCTGTTGGGGTTACCTGTACTTTTCATTATCTGCTCCCTGACCCTCCTGGCACTTGCTTTCCAGGGCTGTTTCTCACACTGTCCTGGTTAAATTCAAGCACTGTGGCCTGGGATGGTTTCCAGTTCTCAGGACCCCAGCGTAGCTCAGTTTTAAACAATAGGTTCACTCTCAAGACAGAGCCAAGCCACTGTCTTCTGAGTCATACAGAACGATTACAAAATACAGATCATTGAGATGGCTCAGCAGTTACTCCTCTCTGGAATAGAGTTTTTTTTTTCTTATTCTGTCTCTTCCTTGTTGGGTCACAGCTAGGCAACTTGTAGTTTGCAACTTCACTGGAAGACAATATTTTATTTTTCTTTTCTTTGTTTAAAAAGTTTTTAAAGTTTACTTACTTTTATTCTCCATGTACCTGTGAGTGAGTGCCTGCATGTAGGGTATGCACACCACATGTGTTCCGGTATGTGCAAAGGCAGGAGATACAGGCTGTTGTGAGCTATCCTGTGTGGGTACTGGTTACCCAACCTGGGTCTTCCCCCCAAACAGAGGGTTCTTTTAACCACTGAAGCATCTCCCCAACCACAATCTTTTTTTTTCACCAGATACATAGTGTTAGCATGTTGACATAGAGCAGGGTCATCCAACCTGCTCTGTGTAACCCAGGAAAGTTACGAACATAGCCACAAACTTATTTAAAACATTATGTGACTATTTTTGGTAGCTTGATTGCATGGCTCTTGAGAATGAGTTTTGAGGATGATTGTATCATGCTATGTGTGTTTTTAATGTTTGTATGCATGTATGGCATCAATTTTACCAAGGTTTATGGCTTCCAATTGTGTTATCTTCCAAGCACAGACACTCAGATTGGCATCATTCGATTACATGTGTTAATGGTAACTTGGAGAGTGAAATGTGGTCATTGTCCAGGAAGTCTTAACCTACCATTACAAATGGTAGACATTTAGTGTTGCTTAGAAGGCAAACGAGTGTTCTTACTTGACTATTAAGGGTGTTCCACACTTAAGTTATGTCTCATAGACTGTCGGCTGCATTTTACAGTTGGCCCTCTGCCTCATCCAGCATTCCATGAGTCAGCCAGCAGACCACAGTAACTATGCTCTTTATAAGTCTGAGTGCCTAAGCACCAGCCTGGGGCCTCCATACCTGGCCCATGTGGCCTAATGGACTTAGAAATGGCTCTTTTGGGTGCTATTGGAAGAAGTTTTTATTCTGGAGAGTACAGGGAGCCCAGGGCAGGGAGTATGGACCAATGCCAGTGCCTTCTGAGTCTCTTTACTGTAGGCTCTCTGGTCTCTTATGCTCACCCCCCTCTTTCTTAGTCCTGTAGATCAAGTTTTAGCCTTCTCTGCTTATCCTCCAACTGTCCACAGTCCTGAGTGTCAAGTCCTCAGCATGAACACAGAGAAAGAGAAGCAAACTGTGAGGCCATTTGAAACATCTCTATCCCTCGGCAACAAGGCTGGCCCACAGCTGGCCTTGGGTGGCCATCATCTGGTCACCCTTGCTCCCTTTGCTATACTGTACTCACCTTGTGCAGCCCCTATGATGTAACTGCTGCTTCTAATTCACACAGGTATCCATGGGCCCTCATAGTTACAATGTGTTCAGTAGACTGGCCCTCAAGAGAAGATACTTTCTCTCTCCTGTCCTGGGAGTCTTCGCTGTGGCCTAAATTAGACACTGTTCTGCTCTGACCTTGCCTCTCACTGGCTGTCCTGGGATGTAGAGGGACATGACAGGCTGAGAACATGGACTGTTTGCAGTGGGAGTTGCTTATCAGGTCTGGGTGCTGGAACAGCAGCTTAGTACTCTTGAGAGAGCTCTGCTCTGACCCTACAGGGACCCTTGGTAAGCTTCTCCAGATCACTGGAGGGGTTCTCTGACCCCACAGGGACCAATGGTAAGCTTCTCCAGATTACTGGTGGGGGGGGGGGGCGGGTAGTGGGCTCAACCTCATTGGAGTTTTGGGTGATGGGGAGAAGTAAATTCAGCTCCTATTCTTTTTGCTCTGTGAACTTCATTCTCAGGAGGTAGAGAGGGGAGCACAGAGCTGGGCCTTTTCCACCATTTTAGCTGCTCCTATACATTCTCCCAGTCCAACTCTCTATTCTTGGAGGCAAATGACTGAGACCCCCAGAGTAAGTGCATGGCTCAAGCCAGGAGATGGGCAAAGAGAGAAAGGAATTCAAGCTCTTGTCCATTCATTTTATCTTCACACCCATGTGGTCCCAATCTCACACTGCCTCTCCCCCGGCCGCCAACATTCTTATTCTCCTATGTAGTACGCAACTTAGAGCTCACACGATAACTACCCTGCAAGTAATGGGGAATTTGCTAGTATGGAGGTGATGTGGTGACATCTGGGTTACTAACATAGTACACTTGGACATTTGGAGCTCAGTGCTGGCCTCCTTTACAAAATGACTGAATGCAGACTAGAGAGAATTTGAAGACCAAACCGTATGAAGCAAGGGCTCTGTGGAGGAAGCAGGCCTGCATCAGTGAGCAAATCAGCCTTTGGCTTCCATTAGCTCCCTTACCCAGAGTAGGAGCGTGCAGAATGCTGTGGTTTTCAGCTGTGTCACGGGAACAGAGTCCTCCCTCTCTTGCTTTCTACCATGGCCTATGTGTGCAGGGTGGGCCTTCCTCCCCAACAAACTCTGTGACTTCACACTAAGCCATTGCTTGTACAGGGCACAACAGGCTGGCCTCCAAGGAGCAATCCAGGTCCTCTGGAGAAAAGGGAGCCCGTCCCTGTAGAGACTGTCCGGCACTTTCAGTTAGACCGAGAAGTATGACCAGGTCCTGTTGCCTGCTAAACTCTTCAGCTAAGACTGCATGGCACCCTAGGGTCAGGTTTGAGGGGGCAAAAACTAGGCATGGAGAATTCCACATGGTAACATTCACTGTAAATTCTTGGCAGCTGTATTTGAATATAGATCTTTATTAGGAAAATTGTAGGTGAAGATACATCATTTTCATTGATACGACTTCAAAGTAGAAATGGCTTCTCAAATAACTGTCATATATTAAAGATGAGATTAAAAAAAAGCACACACTGCATACAGGAAGCTGCCTTCTCCTGGACCATTTTCACATTATCTGGGAGACAGAACTGAAACAAAATACAGTATTCACCACACACAACACTGAACCCATCGCTGCTCAGACCATTGAGGCTGGCAATGACTCTGCGGGCTGGTTTTGTGAACTTGGCAATGACCAGCGTCTCCTGGGGGAATTTTGAGGTTTCTATGGAACATTTTGAGAAATGAGATTACCTTAAGATGGACCAGGGAAGCTGTGTAAGGGAACGCTCCCCAGTTCTCATCCAGCTAGAAACTGATACATTACCGGGGAAGGGGGAAGGCCCCTGTGAGGAGATAAACATAACCCACTGGAGAGGCCCAAGGAAGAAAGCAACCTTTTGCTCTCGGGACCCTCAGAGCTGAACAGGCAATGAACCAGGGGGTTCTGCTGCTCTTCCTTGCTAGTGACCCATTGCCCTCAGGAGCTAGCAGCACAGTGTAAACAGCACAAGGCACAAATCCGGGTCTCAGCACAAAGCAGACTGTAAGTCTCCAACCCCCTTTCCCTATCCAGATGCAAAGGCTGCTGATGGAGGGCTGGCGCCTGCCAGGTTACTGGGAGCCCAAGGGAAGAAGGGGCAGGGGGCAGCTAGGTGTCTCTAGTCAGCAACAGTTCACTGAAGTGCGGGGTTTGTTTTTGAAAGCAAAGGGATGGGAGACTAGGGTGGGCGGGGGAGATTTTTCTTATGTAAATGTGCTATTTAAATGCATATTGGCTTTAGGCAGGCTGTCTCCATTCAGAAACTGGTGGTTAGCAGAGGAATTGATACACAAATAAGTCTCCCTACAGTTTCTACCTTCATCCTTTACCCCGTGGAGGAGACATTGAAAGGACCAATAACGATGGTGAGGATGGAGGGCTGTACTTGTCCCCAGGCAGCGCCCCTAAAACCTTGGGTTGGACGCAAAGGGGCTGCTGCACTAACATTGCAGTTGTGTGGTATCTAGTCCAGCCGCATGGAATGTTCATCTCAAGGGGACTCAAAACAATCTGTATCCCTGTGATGATCCAGAGCTGCAACTAGCCCACATGCCCCACATCCTAACCGGTATTTTAGTTTTTGTTCCAATTTGATAAAATCTTGCTGGATGGGGTTTCCTTCTGTGGAGCCAATTTAAAGGACTATTTATAGAAATGCCCTCCCCCACATGCATTGCTAACGTAACAATTCTACAGATTAGTCCCTCTTAAGCACCTGTTTTTGATAATTCCCTCACTGTAGCTCACTCCATCTTACTTGGGTGGCCCCGTTCCCTATCTCTTCTTCCTGCATCCTTTCCATTGAAGAACTGGAGGCACTTACTGTGCTTTAGTGAGCTCGGCTGCATAAAAGCTGCAGAGGACAAAACACTCCCAGGGCCGCACTTTAAGCAGCAGCCTCAAGCCCACCTGTCCCAAGCAAAGGGACACAATGTGATCCATCAGTGACAGCAAAGACGTCCTGTGACTAAAGCAAGGGATGGCAGCACTGCCCGAAGTGAGGAAATCAATCTAGGGTTGATTCTTTGATTCATTGACTTTAAAAATAATTGGAAGGAATTGAGAACTGTTATTCCTCAATAGAATACCAGAAGACAACACCACAGTTTTAAGACGACAGTTATGGAAACATTGACAGTGCTCAGTGCTAAGTGCTGGTGCAAACCACTTTTCTTTGGCTTTGTGTGTCCTAAGTAGCCCTGTGAGGAGTGAGGAAAGCAAGGGTGCCTGCATCCTCCGGGACCACAGCCTGGACCCCAGGGCCAGCTTCTCATACTCAGCCTTTGCATTTGGATTAGACACAGTGCACACATGAACGAGACATTGGCCGTGGATGAGGACATGGACTTTGAACAAAAGCAGGGGGATGAACAGACACTACTCCAAACAAGACATACATGTGCACAGGGTTTTTGGGGAACACCAGACATTCTCCTTTCTTTCTTGCTGTCCCATTTGAACCAAAGATTTCATCTTGGGAGAGTTCTTTCTCAGGCTCATGGAGACAGTCTCGGAGACACATGGCGATGGGTGAGGAGAATGATGAGCATGATGGATGAATAGGACAGCGTGGGTTGAGGGTGGCTCTCACTCTCCCCTGGCCTCACTCTCCTGCCTCAGTTTGGGAAAGCTCTGCAGTCCTTGGGGTGGGGACACCCAGTTCCCATTAAGAAAAAGGGTGTGCCTCCAGTCTCAACTCAGAGACAAACCTGGGAAGCCCATACTCAGAGAAGGTCCTCCATGGCAAAGATGCTATAACAAAGGAGATAATATAGTGGCTTTGGCCTTTCACCAATGACATTGGACAATCAGACTAAATGAAAAATAAACACCATGTATCTTGCTACATAATCAAATGGTGAAAATACAGCAAATTGTGCAAAGCAAGTCCCTTGGAAATGGCTTCAGCCCTGCTCGGGAGCAGAGGAAGAGGCTGTGGGCCCTTCCCTAACACTGACTTCAGACCTAGGGTCCTTCTGTAAGTTCCTCAGGCGTCTGACCCACGCCTCTCACATCTTGAGCCTCCTGTTGACAAGAACAGAGGAGACACCATTAAGGTAGATGCTCACCACCACGTGCCTGGGATGCTGCGAGGCCGGGCAGGAGCCACAGGCCCCACCCCTTGTCTCAGCTTGCTGCCAAGTGTCTTCCTTCCGAGGCTGGAGAGAGTGGGAAGGCAGGGAAGGGCGCGCTCAGGGTCTGGATGACGGTGGTAAGCACAGAAGACAGATGAACATGGCAAGCACATGATAAGGCACGAACATACTGGCATAGGAGCATGATGGTACCAGGAGCACAGGACAAGGCACACTGCCTTAACCTCAGGACACTGACGCTGAGGCTAGGCATCCACCTCAGTGACAGCAGGCGCTCTGTGTCCTGGGCATCCCCAGGCCTCAGAACTCCAAGAGGCACTTCCCACAGCTTCCATCAAACTAATTTTTCCTTGAAATCTCTTGATTGGTACCATGTCACAAGAAGGACTTGGCACTCAGGAGATGGTCTCTGGGCTGCATGTCCTCCCAGAAGGCATTTGTGTGGGACAGTGTAAGGACCATCCCTCTCACCTGCCTGTGAACTTTCAGGAACACATCCTACTTCAACCTATCACAAGATGAAATCAGCTTCGTGGACATTTCCATAGTGACTGTACAGCAGGCTGGGGTTGCCCATCATAAGGGTTTCATGAGTCACATAAGCACAGAGGGGTCCCCAGGAGCCACATAAAGACAAGTAGAACTTGTTATGGTTCCTAAGAGACAGTCTACTCTCTCAGCCTCTGCCGCCAGCTCCTCTATGACTTGGAGATGGATGGCAGGAGGCAGAGTCCATGGGCGTTTTCAAAAGTGGTCTTCCACCTCAGGGCAGCCTCAATTTGACCTTTGGTTGCTAGGGGGCAACAGTTCTTCCCAGAGTCCTGGAGGGGCTAGGCATCCCTTTCTAAGCAGAGCTGTGGCTTGGGCACAGATCTGCCTTCAAAGGTGTTTTAGTAATAGTGTGAAAGCCCCAGCTGAAGCCACTCTGCCCCTAGACTGCAGCTGCTACCTCAAGAAGGATCAGGCAGTGACCCTGGGCCTGAAGAGGTGCCCACCCATAGTCCAGCTTGCCATCCTCAGATCTGAGGAGAGGATATGGGCTGGCTGAGCTGTCCAGATGAAGGGTAACGGCTGGTAACAGAGGTCTTCCCTAAAGCTCCCTAGCAAGAACCATGAAGGGCTTCGTGCTGGAACCATAAGGAGCACATCAAGGGACACAGAACTTAGGGACTCAAGAGAGTGTGACACACGGGGCCCCCAGGCTTCCTTCCTTTGCCATCTACTTGCTTCATCTTCATCTTTTTTCTGCTCTAGGTACAGAAGTTATACTCAGAGGTCTGGAGTACAAGGTATGTGAGTTTACACAAGGTGAAGAGGAGACACAAGAGACTCAAAGAGTCATCTTTCAAAACAACACTACTAAAATCCTCTGTCCTTCCAATCCAAACTGGAAAAAAAAAAGCAAAAACAAAAACAACAACAAAACAACCCAGACATAAATCGCCAGGCGAGGGTGGGGTGGGATAATAGAATGTTCTAGAACTTTAACCCAATTCACTGAAGGCAGACATCTCTCAGGAGTTAAGGCTGGGCAGCTGTGCCCAGATAGCATACCATCCCAGGGCTGCTGGGATCAAAAGGACAAACTAAAAGTCCCTGAAGCTGCTGGCCCTTCAGTAAGTTCCAGAACACATCTGTCCTTCCCAAGAGGGACCCGTTTAAAGACTCTAAAGTTGTCCAAAGAAAAGACTCCCTGAGAAGCAGCTCACAAATGTTTTCTGAGAATTCATCATTCCTCCTGCTCACCCAAAAGTCTGTGGAAACCCTTGTGGGCAAAGCTGCTCACACAGTCAGGGGAGCAAAGCTGAAGTTCCTTCCCAGGCTGCAGGTACTTGGGAAAGCTTGTGGTGAGCCTGAGAGCAAGTCACTCATCACCTCAAGTCGTGAGAAGGCCACAAGGGGCAGTGTGGCTGAGGGGAAGGCATTTGTGCCCTTTCCTGGCTAAGCAGACAACCCTGGCCTTCATAGGATTGTAGACTTTCTGGGTGTGAGCCTTGGGAACTCCTGGCCAGGGGCTCAGCTCGGGGCAATGCTGCTAGGCTGGGCAGATCCTCTGTGGTTTAGCCTGCAACCCAGCCCCAGTGCAAATCTACTTTCTTCAAAGCTGAGCCGACAGAGCAGGGCCTTAAGAAGCACATAAATACAGCAGCTGGTGAGGCCACCAGGGCAGGGAGGTCTGAGCACCTGTCCAGAGTGTGAGGGTCTGCCCTGGGGAGAGGGAAGTTTACCATCAAGTGTGAGCCTCTGCCCGGGGTGTGGGGTCTGCGCCCGAAGAGGGAAGGGCGAGTTACAAAGCGCCATAGCAGAATGCGCTGCGGTCCATCTGCAGGAAGCAGGTAACTAGTTTTTCCTTTTCTGGGCAGCCTTTCTCTTCTTCTGTCGCTTCTTTTTTCCTATCTTTTCTCTTTTCCCCACTTTTTCTTCTCTGCGCCCCCTTAGATAAAATTAGTAGAACCATTAATCACATTGCAACACACAGGAGTGCTTTTCAGTTCCCACAATATTTAACATTGCCTCGTGAGCCAATGTAACTGTCTTCAGTTGGAGGCCTGGAGGCCCCTTGGCAAAATGAGGTTCATAAGCAATTTATTAAAGTAAACTAGACATTTCCCACCACCCAAAAGTTAAACAGGCTGACTTAACCCCTATAACCCCAGATCTGCTGCCAGTGACTGCCAGTTTGCCATGCCAGGCCGGTCCTGGTTCTTACCACCCCAGCCATCGCTCACCCTGAGGCAGGAATGTACATCTCAGAGGGTGTGGAGGAAGCCCAGGGCTGCCTTCCTTTTCGATGCAGAGGTGAACTCTGCCTTCTCTACAAATCTGCATTTCAAATGAAACAAAGCACTGGAGGCTGGAGGCCCCAGGCTCGGGCAGCCCTCCAGGAGAGGCTAGGAAAGCCAGCATGATTGATCCCACCTCTCTTTTCTGGATGCTGGGGAGCATCCCCAGGGATAACTGAGATTGTTCTAGAGAGCTAGGGAGAGAGATGGTTAGCAGAGTTTTATTAGAGCAACTGGTTTGTGACTGTCACATTAAAATTATTCAAGCTGAATGGTATTTAATGATTTATGGGGTGAGGCCACCTGTTCCCACAAAAGCTTGATATTAACATGGACTGGAGTCATGGGAGTTTTACATGGGAAACTAGGAAAGCTTGATATTACTGGAGTTGAGTCTGGGGATTACATGAGGATGTTAGAACCAGGAGGAGGGGGAGGAGGAGAAATTAGTGAGTCAGGTATTATTCACCAGGAAACTAGAGTTCTACTTCCGTTGGATTAAAAAAATACACCAAAGCTGTCGTTGCAGACTCGACCTGCTCACGAGAGACAATCCTGCCTGGTGTTGCCGCTCACCCACATTCTGCAGGGGCAATCACAGCACCTGGCTGGCAGGTCGGCTTGCGTCTGGAGTCTTCAGAAATGTATACACACTCCATCTAGCATCTAATGGACTTTATCTCAGGTAAATAAATTCCCACATACAGTAGGAGGTTTACAGCATGAAACAGTTAGCATTTTATTGCTAGTGCATATAGTGTCACAGTTGATACAATTTCAGTACAAGTGGAAAATACACTGTGGCTGACATTGGAAAGCTGCAATACATTTCTATGTCATATATATATATTTTTTTACAAATTGCCAGTAGTTTGAGATCATAGAGATTATCTACTGACATTACTATGGCTCAACTTCAAATATATGAATTGACTACAAATATATTCTGAAATACATTTGTTTTTCAAAGAAACATAAAAAGTGCACAAAAATATATGTAAAAAATGCCTTGCAAATAGTCACCAAAACCACCAGGGCCATCTGTGATCATAAGTATGTATCCAAGTTTTATCTTGTCTCTATTTCTGATTGGAACCCGAAATCCCCACTGTGACTTCATGGCAAGATTCTGGCTTGCTCGTTATTATTATTTTTTCATCTCTGATATTCGAAAACTCAGAGCCCATGGAGCCACCATGGTGTATATAAATAAGCCTTACAGGCAATTAGAAAAATCAAATTACTCAAAATAAGTTCCCAAATTTAAATTTTTGATTATAACTACTCTTCAGACTTGTGTTTCTGGGTAAAAAAAGGCATGTTCTCACATTATCCAGGGGAGGCTGGCTCCACTCTGCAGGAGGCCAAAGAGAAATCTCACAGAGGGCCCAAGTGAGAGGAGAGTACAGAGAAGGGAGAGGGGAGTACCCCTAATTCCTCTCTTCTGATGCAGCATTGGTCCATCAGGACAGAGTGGCGAGAAGCGGAAGTCAGATGAAGCATGCTTTTGGAGGCAAGCAGAGAGCGGGGACTGCTAGGAAAGGACCTCTGAGCACAGACCCCGGGGATAACGTCTACAGGAAGCTTTCTGTCTGTACCCAGGTCCAGTCACTGAACTGGAAAACAGAGGTGAAGGCAACAGCCTCTGCCCAGCCCTCAACTGAGAGAAACTCACAGCAAGGCATCTGTCGAGGGGCGCCCCCTGCAGGACCAGCCCTGCAGTGCTCCTCCAGCTCGGAGGAATCTTTTATACTCTTCTAGGGTTCCCTGCAAAGCCACCCCCTGCAACTGTGCCCAGAGGTCCCCGTGAAAAGAGAAGCTCCAAAGCAAACTGAATACAGACCTTGAAGTAATCACTGCTTTTAAAAAATGAGGATGAGGATGAAGAGGATGAAGATGAAGCTTACTGGTTAGGATAATACAATTTCTTAGAAAAACCCCAGTTATAAAGCTCCATTGTGCATGGACGAGGGCATGGATGAATATAAGCTGCAATATCGTACCATGTGCTATGGTGGAGTGTCTTTGTGCTGGCAAACCTCAGCATGACCCCGGTCAGCGCTGTCCCACTGGTCAACCTGGCCAGGTTTCAGGCCCTCCTCCCCACCACTGCCCCTTCATCTCCCACGGATGTCAGCCTTCCTCGGGGGTCTACTGGGAAGTCCTTTGGGCTGCCGCGCTTACTTGTTAAGAGCTTTCTCCAGGTACTCCTGAATCCACTTTAGTTTCGGGTCAATGCACACTTGTCTGCTGTTGCTCTTCAGCCTTGCGCTGTAGGAACAGAAGAGGAGACTGTGTGGGAGACAGGAGTGGGAGGGAGGCATTGCCTGGACTCACCCGACACACCCAAGCTTAGGTTCCTCACTGAAGGACCTGCTGCTACCCTGGAAGCCTCAGGTTTGAAAGCTGCCCATGGCCCTTGAAGTGTGGCAGGTCCACCGCTGCCGCAGAGTTAGGAGTGCACTAATGATGCTCCTAGGGGACACGGGGAAGAGACCACAAACACTGATGGAGAGCAAGTACCCAGCAGATGTGAAGGAAGAGTGGGCACAGGAGGCTCACAGAGCCACGCAGAAGGGGCAAACGGCAGTGACTTTATGGGGGAACATCTTGGAAACTTCTGGAAAGTGCCAGAAGTAGCTTTTAAAATTCGATGGATTGCCATGATAGCATAGGAACCAATCTAAGTGTAGCTCAGGAGGAAGACTGCAGTTGTTCAGTGAGGGGAGGGACAGTGCAGGTAAAAAATGGGACAGCTCAGGCAGGCAGAGACTAGTATAGCTGAATTGTCATGGGCTTGCTGGAGGGGATTTCAAGTTCACAGAATGCTCCCTGGTCTTGTTTTTGGTTAAAGTTGACCCAATATTCTTCTTTGCACCCCTAAAGTTTCCTAATGGGGAGATAACTGATGAACTTGTCTTCAGGAAATTTTCCATTGAAGTCCTAGATTGCAGGTAATTCCAAGAAATACTCCTCTCCAGTTATTGAATGGTTTCTGGGGAAAACTAACCTCTGCTCAGTGTTCTGGGACAGGTAAACCTCTAATAGCAGGTTGTCCATTAATTGAATAGTCGTGCAGAGGGGTGTGACTTGAAATAGGGAACACGGAGTACCCATCTGGGTACAGCATTTATTAATTTAGCATCTCCCTAGCCCAATAGTTGTATTCGGCACTGTGGGTTCAAGGGCCATTCCCAAGCCTGAACCAGCACGGCTTAGGCAAAACTAAATTCATCATCTTTAAAATACCTTTCTCAAGAGTGTTGTATTTTAATCAAAATAGGGGAAAAATCATCATCCAGATCTCTAAAGCATACTGCATGTAACTAATGTATTCTCAGCATCGAAGGCTAGAAGAGATGTTCATGAAAAAAAGAACGCCTAAGCAGTTTCCGTTGGGTGGGAAAGCCCTCAGAAGGAACAGCACAGCTTTATCCCAGCTACGGAGTCCTCAGTCCATTTTTAGTGTTAAGTCGTCTGAGGATGTGAACCCCTCCTAGGAGACAGAGCCGTCAGCATCCTCCAGTGTGGGAGAGCAGACTAGGCATGGCACATCTGTCAGTCTCCAGTGCTAAGTGAGACTTTTACATCTCTCATTTACATGCTTTGGGCTTTTCTTATTTCCCACCCAACTTTCAATCAAATGTTGGCAGTTGCTGTCAGCATCGAGCAAAACAACAACAAAAACCAAAACTCCAAAACTAAGTGACCTTAAAATGTTGACTTTTCGGCAAATGATTAAAATCAACTTCAACGCCAGCCAAGTCTCATGATCTTTTTTGCTGTATGAGGAACAGTTAAGTTTGGACTTCAGAGACTTGAAACTGTCAGGACACAACAGACACGACTGTTGCTAGTTGAAGGCTGACCCCAGTAAAGTCGATGGCTTTTTCTGTGCAGCGGCGGCCCCACAGTGCTGCACGAAGCAGCTTGGAAAGAAGGAGAAACACTGAGTGGAACAGGGGTCTGGGAACAAAAGTAGCCTTTGAAGCTCATGTCTGATGGCATATCAGAGTGTGCATGGTGGTAGCAACTGCCACTAATTATGCCAAAGCTGAGGCTTTCTCTGTTGCGCCCACCTTTGGAGGATGATGCCTGAGACTTACACAATCTGAAGGGCACAGTTCGGAGTGTTGAGGATTTTCAGATGTTTGACGTTGGATCTGGAGACATGGCTCTCGAAGAACCGGCATGGGCATCTGTAGCTCAGGCTGACTGGCTTACCTAAGGGTGTGGAGAGAGAACAAGGCCGCTCAGCGCTCTACCTGTTGCCAGGGACTTGTGGGATAGGCTGGTGCCCTGATGGCCAGTGAAGAATGGGGAACAACAGCAGGAATGGTTACAGATGCACTCTTGCACTGCCTAGGGAACACAGTGAGAGCCCACTAGGCCCAGCTTCTTATGGACAAAGGACCAAAGGACCTGGGGAAAGTGGAGGAGGTTCTAGGCTCCCTCCCTATGGTCCCAGCCTGAAGTTGGGGAGGGATGCCACCTACCACCTGCAGTTTTCCCTCCTCCCTCTCACCCTAAGCCCTGGAAATCACAAAAGAATTCAGAAGGGAGGCCTGGGATTTACCTTCCATCCAGCTTCCCCCAAAGGCTGGAGGCAAATGTGGCTTTTATGGTCAGTACCTGGATGCCTAGGCCTCCTGGATCCTATTACCAGCTTTGTTTGCCAATTCACCAATTTGCAAAATGCCATAATTGACACTCATTAGTGTAAATTAGCAAGGGGCTCCTTTAGAAGTCCTCTTAAGACCCACCCTTTATGTCTAGAATTGCAAAGCCCTGAGACCAGATTCATAGCTGCCCCCCTCCTAGGATTTTATCCTAGCTCTATTTAATATCCCCCAAATGTTTGAATTTATGGACCTTTTTGCCAAAGTTCAAAAGTATGGCTGAGAATAGTTAGTGCAGGGATTTTAAGTTTGCTTATTTAGAGTTCCAGGGGACTTCTGGGTACTTAAAGTTCTGTACTTTTGGGAAGCAGCTGGAGAAGGCAGTCAAATCTCATATATGATGGGCTTATCTTTTTTGCAGGTATTATCTAGTCAAGGGACGGTGTGGCCTGGGAAGAGCGTGCCTTTAGACTCTAAAGTAAAGAAAAAGCAAATTTTGAGTACAGGCCAAAGTCCAATCCAGCTCTGCTGCCACCCTGGACTTGGGACCTAGAGAGTTCGATTCGGGGAGCCAGAGCACATCTCCTGCTAATGTGGCTTCTCTAATCAGGCCTGAAAAGCCTCCTGCCCTGGGTTTGTCCAGGGAAGCCTAGGGTGCTTAGGCCCGTTGAGTAAATCAACTGATTGGGAAAGACAGGAACCACAGCAAGTTTAGCCAGGCTGCAACTTGGGGGCTGTGTAGGATCAGAGAACACATAGGTATCGAAGGTAAAGCGAACAATTCATTTGGGCAACGCACTGGCTCCCGCCTAGAGAACAGGGTCCCATCCTGACACCGGATAGTAGAGAGATCAATCGGGCTCTTCCTAGGGTCCGATATGCCTGAGGGTAAGGCACCCCACTTATTCTGACAACTGCACTTCAGCCTTGAGGACCTGGGTTCCTGCATTCGTCTCACACCCAACGTCCCAACTGTGACACTTGTAACTTCACCAGCTCATGCTGTTCTTAATGCCCAAATCAACGCGCTCCCTGACTGGATAGTGGGGCCAGTGGGAAGGAAGCTGCAACCTCCCAGACGGTCTCATTAACAGAGAAAAAAAATCTAAATTGCCTGCCATTCGTGATTTTACTACTCTGACCAGCAACTCATTATGATTCTAGAGAGCATTTCTCCCCGCCCAAGCATTTCCAGCCTTTCCATCCAAACTCAGCCGAACGCAGGTTCCACAGCTACTGGTATCCCGTTGTTCACTGGGTGAGAACCCAGACCTCTGGTGCACTTGGGAGGTGTACAGCTCGCAGCCTCACCGAGAGCCCCGACTGTCCCTTAGTTCTCGTCAGGAAACATCGCGGCCCAGGAAGGCAGGGGCCCGACGGGTAGGGTTTTGTTTTGTGTGTTCAGAGGCAATGGTTTGTTTTGTTTTGCAGCAGTGGTGTCTGGTAACAGCGCAGAGAGTTTTCTCTTCAGTGTCAAAAAAGAAAACAAAATGAAAGCCTTTTCCCAGTGAAACGGGACACCACCCTGGGTCTGGGAGACTGAGCTCGGCTGCAGCTCCCATTCCAGAGCAGAGGGCTCTGGGGCTGGCTACAAAAGCGTCCATCTGCAGGTGTGTTTGGGGGTTGGGGAGAGGTGTGCATGGTTTGGGTGACTACTGTGCCTTTGTCTAGTGATCCCGGGGAGAAAAATAGGGGGCAGCGAAAGAGACGCCTGCTCAGGTCCGCGTCGCTACGGATCAACGAACTGTGTGGAAGCGCTGCCCGAGCTGCGCCGCGCCTGGCCCCGAGCCCCTTAAGGGTGCTTGCTGTAAGAGGACCTTCTCCGCTCGGAGGGGACGAAGGAAACTCAGCTGCACCGTATCTATAGCCAAGCCAAGCACTTTGAGCTACTTGACTGGCAGTCAAGAGTTTGCATACACACGCACCAACCGAACAGATCTCCCGCACCGTAAGCTCCCGGACCGCACTGCCCTTTGCCTCTGGAAACTTCTGGGCGCGGGTGGACACTAGCTGAGTGCAGCTGGCGCGCTCGGGGGCCCGCAGCCCCGGACACCGCCGCCCACGCTTCCATTCCACGCTAGCCCCACTCTTGTCCAACAATCCTAGCGATCCTCTCCTGCAGCCCTCTTTAGATCCTACTGCCGCACTTCATACAGTAGAAAACCTCCGTGCGGTGCGTGGGACACCGGAAAGGGCACCTGGAGGGAGCGCGCCCTGTAAAGTGGCTGCCTCAAGTTCGCTTGCGGTGACCGACGCCAACCGAGTTCTTTCTCCGCGACTCGGGCGCGGGCACAGGAACCCGGGACCTGCGGGAGCCACGGCGCAGAGCTGCCAGCCCTTCCCGGGCACGGATTGCACTTACCGTCACTGATGCAGAGCGCGGCCAGCACCAGGACCAGCACGGCGATGACCTTGGCGTCCATGGCGTGGGCGGGAGGGCGCGCCGGAGGCTGCAGGGCTGGACCGCGAGAGGACACCGAGGTGGACCGAGAGTGAAAGTGCGGCAGCGGGAGGCGCGCGCTGGGCGCTTTAGAGGCGAAAGGCAGGCGGGGCGGGGCGGCGCTCGCCAAGGGGCGGGTCTGGAGTGTGGCGGGGGTCTCTGACGCGCATCCCCTGCGGAGAGGCCGCCCTTCCAGTCCTTCCTACCTCCTTTGGCGCCCTCGGTGTCCCCGGCCCCGCTGGGTGATGGGACCTTTGATCTTCCCAGTCTCCAACCTGGACCAGCTGCTTGGACCTGAACCGCAAAAAGACAGGGCTGTAGAGCGTAATGCTCACATCATGCAGATGGAGAAACTAAGGGCTTGTGGCTGTCGAAGGGGAAAGCGGCAAAATAAGCATCAGTGAGTCAAAACAGTCGCTTCCAGACGCGAGGGTCTGTTGCCCACCCCCGGCCCCCCATCCAAAAGTTGTTACAGAATCCTGTTTTTGGTGCCAGGACCTTAAGCTGACCCACCGCACGCCCAGGCTCTTTGCCGCAGGGAACAGTGACCGGTCTGCAGTTAGAATACCTGGGACTCCCAAGCAAAGTATCTCACTACCAAACTCTGGGAAGCCGCGTTCTGCTGCAGAGCTGTGCTGCTGTGGAAAGAGACCAACAGGCTGTCCCAGAGATTCTCAGTACACGTGAAGGTTCTCTGCCGTCTCCCGCCCTCCCGTGTCCCTGTTCTGTCGGCTGGGGAGTGGGGATGATCACAGCTTTCACCCCGCTGACTGAAAAGACTCACTCCGTGACACTTCGTGACTCACACTTAGCACTTGGTTTTAATGTGCGCTCGGTTAATGGAAGCTGGAAACAGCTTCTTAAACCTCAGTACTTCCTGCCTTTCCGAAGAAAGTCCAATGTTCTCCAAAGGACCAAAGATCTCCCTGCCGCCCTGCTCTCTAGGACGGTGCTCCCGGAGGTGGACATTGGTGCCTTTATAAATACACCCATTGGTGTACAGCCCTGCCGGTAGGGCCGTTGTTCTCCACGCCGGTCAACCAAAGCAACCCGGGCCTGTGGATGGGGGGGGGGCACGAAGGGGACACATGGACCCCAGCCTGGGCGTCGAGAGGCTGAGGGCAGCGAGCACCCTTTGGGCCTTCCTGTGCCACAGGCAGTACTGGCCATTCTGTCAGCTCCTTTCCCACACAGCCTCTTAGTGATTTGGATCCTGTTACCACGTCCACTCAAGGGAGTATGTTGTCTCCCTTGTATATCGGGGCAATCCGGGGATCATCTTTTTGAAGGAGTGGTCAGGACTGTTGGACCTGGGGCTCCACCTAGGGACTAAAGAAGGGAGGCAGGGGTCAAGAGAAAATGTCCCAGCCAAGAGTGTCTTCTGCGACTCCGGCAAGCACTTTGCACGCATTCATTTGTCAGGCGCACTGTGGGGACTAAACTTCAAATCAGGAACCGCTTTGATCTGGCCCATGAGCTTAAACAGTAACTTTCTAGAAAAAGCCGCCATCCGTTTCCACCAGCTTTTGCACTGTCCTGAGCGTTCGGGATGCTAAACTCTGAACTTGCAGGTCCTGTGCTGCAGGATGGTCAGAGGCTGGACTCCAGCGCCCTCTGGTGGCCCCATCTCCCTCGCTCTCGTAATCCGAGAGATTGAGATTCAAATCGGTGGGGTCTCGGTACCTGTGAGGGGGGAGAGGGGCCGAGTGGGTAGAGGGAGGGAGAGACGGAAGGAGGGAGGGAGAGAGGGAGGTAGGGAGAGAGAGAGAGAAGCCAGATGCTCTTGGGCAAACACCACTACCCTGAACACAAAGCTTGTCCTGGTGCTCCTCTCCAGGGCATAGAGGCAAGGCGAACCTCTTCTGTAGGTTTGTCCAGAACAGGTGTTCGGCTCTCTTGCTACTTGATGTTTGCTACAAATTCAGGTGAGTAGGACATACTCACCATCCAGGGGTGAGGGTGCGGGGAGGAGTGTCCTGAGCAGGTTAAGAGTGAATGAACCTCAGGCCAACCAGGGGCAGAGACACACTGAGGCCCTGGAACAGAAGCTAGTGTGGGGCACATCTGTGCCGACTCTTCTGTTTTCATTCATTAAGACTTTCCGTAGTTCTCTCACTGTGTGCTAGACATGGCCTAAGATTTGTGAAATATTTAAAAGACAAAAAAAATTTTTCTCTTCTCCTGGAGTTTGTATCCTGGGGTAGGGAAGGATTGCTGGGCAGTGCTAAAGCCAGAAACCAAGCACACCACACATAAAATGCCAGGAAGTGCTCCGTGGAGAAGCAGCAGTGAGAGGAGGAGCTTGGAGTTTTAAACAGGGTCTTCAAGGACCCGGGTTTCAGTTAAAACATCTCCGGTTTTATAGTTGATGAATGACTTTCATTTAAAACTCTGTCTACTTTAGGACACTCCACAGAGACAGATGGGGGCCATGAGCCTTTTGAACTTGCTGTATGGTCGACCAAATTTGTGTCACCCAAATTTGGGGCTATGCTTGTTTATGCTACCATCTCTACTCAGTTCCACCCGGTTCCTCTGTGGGAAGGCTCATTTCTTGGGATGGTGTAAAACAGTTCACCTTCTCTGTGAAGGCTGCGTCTCTCATCCCTCCCACAGCACGGGAACGGAGGGTGTGCTGCTCCTTGGCTTGCAGTGTCCGATATCCAGAAGTCAAGATGGCAAGGCCCTGCTCTGGGTCCCTGGCACAAGTGTCTGCCGCTTACCTTGGACAGGGCGACTCACTCCAAAGGTCAGTCAGTGCCTAGCATTCCCAGGTGGTTTCTCAGAGCAAAGATGAAGGTTTGCAGTAAGTCCCCATCTGCAGTGTATAACTGGCAAGACAACTTCAGTTTGCCCTCTTTCTGGAACTGGTATTCTTATGGTCTTTTAAAAATTACGTTTTAAAATACAATGATAGGGAATCGTGCAAGGAGTCCCACCATGACACTCGCCTGCCCACAGCGCACTTAGCTTATTTATATTCACCTACTTGTTAGTCTTTTCCCTTCTTTTCCTCCCTTCCTCCTCCTTCTGCGTCCCTTTTAATTGCATATCCCTCTTTTCTTCTTTTCTCTAGACTCCACATATGAGAGAAAACAACCAATGTTTGTTTTTATGAGACTGATCGTATGTTTCCTTGCAAATGACATAATTTCACCCATCTTTATGGCTGAGTAAAACTCCATCGTCCATATATACCACATTACCCATTCATCCATTGGTGGCATCTAGGCTGTTTCCACAATTTGGTGGTGCAAATATTTAAAGATGAGCATGGGAAACACACTTTCTAGATTGTGTATTTTTTAAGTAGTAAGAAAATATGACTGGTGCAAACCTTAAGTTTAGTGCTCAGGACTGGTTTTAATTTTTATGTATGATTTTAGTTTTAAAAAGTGAGTTGAGGGCCTGGAAAGCTGGCTCAGTTGTTAAGAGCACTGGCCGCTCTTATAGAGAGGATCAGGGTTCAATTCCTAGTACCCACATGGTGGCTCACAACAGCCTATAACTGTAGTTCCAGGGCATCCAATGCTCTCTTATGACCTCCACAGGCACCAGGCACACATATGGCAAATAGATAAATATTCAAGGAAAACATTCATACACAATAAATAATAAATTTTAAAAAGTGAATTGAGCCCAGCACCCTAGAGGCAGTTGGATCTCTGAGTTCAATTCCAGTCTGATCCACAGAGCAAGTTCCAAGACAGCCAGGACTACACAGAGAAACTGTCAGAAAAACAAAAACAAACAAACAAACAAACAACCTTTCCTTAAAGTTAGTTGATATATGCTAACATAGTATAAAATGATCTAAGTAGTTAGGGACAGCAAATGTTGAAAATAATACGAAAATCCCTAAAGTTTGACATTGTACATTGTCTCATTCATACTCTCCTATTAAAGTAAACTATTTGGTTTCAAAATGGTAAAACATAAAATCAAAAAGGAGTGATCATCCTCCTCACTCACCCACCAGGTTAGGCAGAAGAAAGCTGATCTAGGAGTGTGCAGATCCTAAGAAGAGGAGGAGTACATGAAGGATCCTTGGGCACCTTTGTTCCCCCACCCCCAACAGTGCCCTTGTCCCTCCTCCCTGGCAGTTCTAATGGGGCCCAGTTAGGAGACAGGGGCTTATGCTGTCTTCCCCTCCACTGACTCACACAGTTCTGACACCCCGTATGGTGCTCAGGAGTAAATGATCTATGGTAATGAAGATGCTGAAGGAGACACATGCCTTGAGCTTATCCATTGAAGATGGTGTGGAGTTTACCAAGTGGAGAATGACTTGGCCCAGAGAAGGTCTTTCAGGAGATATTTAACAATTCTATTTCCTAGCTGGGCGTTGGTGGCGCACGCCTTTAATCCCAGCACTCGGGAGGCAGAGGCAGGCGAATCTCTGAGTTCGAGACCAGCCTGGTCTACAGAGTGAGTTCCAGGAAAGCCTCCAAAGCCACAGAGAAACCCTGTCTTGAAAAACAAAAAAAAATTCTATTTCCTTAGGAAAAATGGCATCTGTGACCTTCAGTAAGTTATAGAAGCCTATCTGGAGACATAAGTCACTCTGTGACAGCCATCTAGAGGGCTCTTGAAGGTTGTACTGGGGGCTGAGGCTCAGCACTTATGTGTTGAGCTGACTATGGTTCCCTTACTCGGTTCCAAACCGGAGTTTTTAAAAACTCCTGTATCACTGTTTGGGATAGGATCCCAGGAAATCTGAACCAGATTCCACTGGATTTGGGATACAAACATAGGCAAGGCCACCTACAGGAAGCATGCACAACGATCAAACCAGGGTGTCTATCTAACATGATCCTGCTCAGAAACGGCCAGACACTTTAAGACATAGGTATTTCCCAGAGCACAGCCAGAAGAACAACTTCCTAGATCCAATGTTCTGTAGAAAGTCCAAGGCCAGCAGGGCTCAGACCTCAGACTGGCCCACACTAGCTCTCAAGCAAGATAGTTAGGTCTGGATTCATTCCACTCCCCAAGCTCTCCACCTTCACTTCAGCTACCCTTCCTTTCAGCAGCCAGGGCTCAGCAGCTTGGGCATCACTAAAGGATCTCACCAGAGATAC